AGGGGGTGTAGATCTTCGTTTGTATCTTGTTTCCTATGTGTTAAATATGCTCAAAACCCTAACCTCATGATATAAAGAGCTTACATGTTAATTAAGTCTGATTAAACCCTAGGTTTAGGGTACTTTGGTTCTGTAAATGTGAATAAATGGAATTATATAAGTTTCAAGCTTTTTTATGCAAGCATGCTTATGTTAATTTAATCGATAACTAGGGTTTATGTCACTTTCTTGACTAATGAGAAGATTAAACTTAATTAGTAGAATTAAGGGTTCAAATAATCATGGAGATGATTCTTTTAATTTGTTATTACTTGCTTTGTAATGTATTAAATCATGGTAGACACGTGGTGATTGCTAAGTGTTATATGTACACGAATGTGTGCATGTTTCTGCTTAGTAGTCGACTAATAAGAGTAGTAGTTGACAACTAATTCCAGTTTGTTCTATAGAAACTACTTAATTACAGAGTAGTCGACTAATGAAGAGTATAGTCGACTACTAATACTGATTCATATTTTTACAGAATCTGAGTAGACTCAGTGTAGTCGACTACTAAGCTTAGTAGTTGACTGCTAAGGTTGATCTTCTTGATGTTGTGTTATTTTGATTTGAAATGCGAGCTCGAGGTTCGAGTTGCATGATAATACTTATGTGGTCATAATTATATATGAATTGTGTTGTAGTACACGTGTTAATACCCTAGAGGGGGATTTTGCTAAGTATTGTTTTGAGTACACTTTTTCCTTGGCATTATATCCGCACGAGTGTGCGCTGAGCTTTGTGAACCTATGTTATTGTATCCGCACTAGTGTGCGCTGAGATTAGTGAACCTATATTATTGTATCCGCACTAATGCGTGCTAAGGTTAGTGAACCTATGTTATTGTATCCGCACGAGTGTGCGTTGAGATTGGTGAACCTATGTTATCGTATCTGCACTAGAGTGCGCAAAGGTCAAGGAACCTATGTCATTGTATTCGCACGAGTGTGTGCAGAGGCAAAAGAAACTATATCTTCTTTTCTACATAGTTATGCACAGAGGTTGAAATGTTTAATAGTTGTCATGCACGGGGATACTATTAGATGTGAAGAATCAGAAAAGATAACCTATATGACTTGATAGCCCAATGTGTTTGGTGGACACTAAATGTGACGCCCCAGGTTTCGCATTGGACTGCAGCCTTGCATGAAACCTGGGGCATCACACTAAATGTGATATAACTCATGCTTGAGTAGTTTTACATCTAAGAGACTCACCTTGTTAGTATACGAGACATATCTATTACTCTGTTGTTGAGTATGATGTTAAACCTACCATGTTTCTACTTCAGTCATTATTGAGTTTTTATTCATTTGTTCCGCGTAAAAAGGAATTTTAGGTAGATTATGCTTAATAGATAGAGCCTCCACTACATGTAGTAGCATTTCCCCTAGGGCGGATGGAAGTGATCTTGCTTTAGTGCTCTGACGCTTTTGTTGTTGCTCTTTTTATTTTTATTTCCCTTTCCGACGGTTTAGAGCATTAGAGAGTCGTATAATAACGGAGTTCAGGCAAAGTCACAGTCACATGAGCAAAGAGATGAGACTCCATAGTAGACTGACTTTATTTCCAGTTATTAGAGTTTTTCTTTATTTTTCACTTTGTAAAGGCTGTGAGCCTTGGTACATTCTTAGTTGATTTATGTCGTGATACATTTATATATTTCAGAATGTCAGGTGTATCCCAGACTTATTCTTTAAGACATGATTTATTTATGAGATACTCTTTCCTATATCATGTCAGCTATAGTTATTTTTTTCTATTGCTTGTTTGTACCTGCACTTTACTTTTGTTTCCACTAGAGGATATTGCTATGATTGGTGAAACCTGTTATTGTAACGTGTGGGTGAATAGCAGGTTTGACATCTCTGGGTTCACCTTGGACTACAGCCATGTGTGAAAACAGGAGCGTCACACTTGCACTTCGGTTATGTAATCACTATATTTTATTATACCTTTATACCCATATTATTTATTTTATTTGAATAAATATATCTGCTAATAATATTTTTTATCTTAACATGTATGTAAAAAAGAATTATTGAATAAGAGCTTAAATTGTGACGCCCCTGGGTTCACACAAGGCTGCAGTCCAAGGTAAAACCAAGAATGTCAAACCTGCCATGCACCACACCGTGTAATAACATGTTTCACCATCACAATTACTACCTCTCTAGTAGAGTCAATAACAGGTGTAGGTACAAAAGCAAGTAAAAGATTATACAAGAGTCAACTGATGAACTAATAGAGATCAAATTAATGTTCCATCATTTACCATACTTAAGTCAATATGTGAAATAAATAAACTGGAGTTCTCAACAAGCCTCAAGTACAAAATGTCTGAAATAAAGGAAATAAGGCACACAGCCTTTACAACTTCTAGAAATAACTCTCAAAATGTCTAAACAAGGCCTACTGTGGAGCTCAAAAGTAAAATATAACTATAATAGAATAGCTGAAGCTAGAATGCCTCGCCATCAACCTGCGACTCTCCGGGCTCCTGGCTCGTTACCTGAAAGGGGGAGGGACAACGAGCGTCAAAACGCTAGCGAGCAACATCACAACCAACCCCAAGGAAAAAGGGCTCGTTGTATACAGAAAAATACAATTATAATATATATAAAGTCACAAATCCTATTTAAGTAATTACAATGTGAGCATAAGTACGTCGAGCGAAATAATCCAAACAAGGAAACCCTCATGTATATACCTTGAGCATAAGTACGTCGAGCGAAATAATCCAAACAAGGAAACCCTCATGTATATACCATGTAGATCAGATTGTAAGTACCTATGTATAAGAGGATCATCCAAACAAGGAAACCCTCATGTATATACCATGTAGATCAGATTGTAAGTACCTATGTATAAGAGGATCTTAGCATTTAGAAAGTTACAACACGAGCATAGGTACGTCGAGCGAAATAATCCAAACAAGGAAACCCTCATATATATACGTTGTATCTCAAATTGTACATCCCTAAATACCAGACCCAAAATCTAATACAAGAAACATAGATAAAAGAAGGCAAACTCATCTTAAACTTAATTACGGTGTTGTGTCACAACTCGTTTAAATATCGTCTCCAGCCTATGCAAGTATAGGCGTTAACTCTCAAGGTCTAAACTGATGTAGTGGATGTCCAACACATGGACTGCTTATGTAAACGGTCCAACACATGGACTGAAAGTGATAAGTGTCCAACACATGGACTACACATCATAATTGCCCAACACATGGACTAGATGAGTTATGAACAGGTGCATATTCACTAATCTCACAAGTCTCGGTGCGCAAACCTAGTCTCGTGTCCGCATGACATCTCACATATAATGATACATGTTATAAACATGAATTTTAAAGGCAGATATCCGAGGCAACTCCTCGCTCATATAGATATGTACACAGTAATAGTAACATGCTGAAATAGTTTAGGTTAAAATGAAACAACCCAAACAGATCCAAAACGAGGAAAAATTAGAAGTTTCCTCGTCAGTCGACTCATGAGTCGACTGGGATCATCGGTCGACTCATTAGTCGACTTGACAGACATCAAGAAGAAAACAGAAAGAATAATCTCCCATCAGTCGACTCATTGGTCGACTCATCAGTCGACTCATGAGTCGACTGATAAGTCGACTGACAGGTCGACTGAGCAGGTCAAAAACCAGTTCCGCATAAAAGTGATTATTTGCAAAGATTAGAGAACTAATTGGTAAAAGAAGAATTTGATAATCTTTGTTTATCTTAAGTGGTTTGATAGGTTATGTTCACGAATTCTATAACTACTCCCTAGTTGCTTGTTCTTCCATGAACGATAGTTTTACTTAGATAATAATTTGATAGCTTTTATTTTTCTTAAGTGGTTTGATAGTCTACGGTTAATAAATCTAAAGTAAAATATGATAAAAATAGAGAAGTTCATAAATCTTAAATGAAATCAAGTAGTGGATTGAATTCTAGATTCTTATGTTTTCTCATAACTTTTTTTCCATATTTCACTGGTTTTGATTTTTCCTCTTTGCGGTTAGTTTTTGTAGTCTTGTTTTTGTTCTTTTTTAGTTTTGTTTATTTCTCCTTCTTGTTATTCTTTATTTTCTTTTGTTTTTGTCCACTCTCTTTCTTCTCTCTTTTCTAACGTCATTTTATTTGCAAATAATCACGCACTTTCTAAATCTTTATACTTTCACTCCTTTTTGTGCATACACACATCTACAACTATTTTAGAATTTTTCCTACACGCCTTCCTCGTGTGATCGACATTATAATTAAACTATAACTTGATTGCGCACTTGCAATCTCGACTCTACCTTCACAAGACATCACTGTGGTAGTCTTAGCCTCATCAATAGGGGCTTGCCTATAAGAAATGGCATTAGCAACTTGTGCGCTTTCACCATCATGTTAGAATATATTGCAGATGCCTTAAATGTAGCGTCGTTTCGAGTGGGGGCGAAAAGAGCATAAACAGCTATCCTGATCAAAGAATGTCGTGCACACGATCCGTTGCGCCCACTGTCGACGCACTTGAGAAATCAGTCTCTTTCAAAGAAGCAGAAAACTTTACTCACCCCTTACGAACGAACGTCTCCCTGAATCAGCCCGTTTGAGCACTGCTATAAATAAGCTGGACAACACCATATTATTTTATCATCCATCACCCAAAATACTACAAAACTCAATTTAAAACCATGAAACCTTTTATACTTCTCGCGTTATTTACCTCTCTACTACTTGCTTCTCCCCCTCCCTCCTATACCGCCCCTCTCCACACTGCAGGCTTCCGAATAGATCTCACGCAGAAATCGACCGCGGGCAAACATAAACAAGCCGCTCCGACCTCTGCGACAGAGCATCTGCGACAGGAGCAAAAGCCAAGGAGAAAAGCTCAGGAAAAAGACAGTTTGGGTCCCGTCGCGTCATCCGAGGCGAAGGCGAGTAGCATATTCGAACCCTCGCCATGCGGAACCCTCGCCGGTCCAATTCACCGGCATCCTCGACAGCGGGTAGCGACTCTCGTCTGACCCAGTGCCCACCTGTATCCTGCTTCGCCCCCTCCCCTCTCTTCGACCCACTCCGCTCCGCCTCATTCTCAGCTCTCCCTTGCACTCACAAACTCTGCCGCGCTATGGCGCTACAAGATGACTCCGCCTGCGCCGCCCGCGACTGCTTCTACCATTACCACTACGGCGATGACACTGACACCCTTGGATTCATGGGATCTGAAACCTTCACTTTCGGCTCCACCAAAAAAGTCTCCATCCCCAGTATTGGCTTTGGGTGCGGGTTGTACAATGCCGGTGACATCCAGAACTCATCTGGTGTTATCGGGTTCGGGCGCGGACCAATTTCGTTGATATCCCAACTGGGTGTAGGCACATTCTCCTACTGCTTTACTGACTTCCTCGACGACGATCCAAAGACGAGCCCACTCTTCTTCGGGACGCTGGCGAGGCTGACAGGTCCTCATATCCGAACAACGCGTCTCATCAGGCTTGCCCAATCGATGCAGCCATACTCAAGCTACTACCATGTTTCGCTCAAAGCAATTACAGTAGGAGGTTCTTTGTTATCTATTCCGCCCGAAGTTTTTCAAGTAAATAAGGACGGTAGCGGCGG